ATTATCCCGAAATAGTTCCAATTGTGTTAGTATTCAAAAATTAACACATTATACTAAATACAGTACGTTGACATTACACCATATTTAAATAATGTGTCTTTATTGAATTATGAATTGGCCTTGGAGGTTGCATTTAATCTGGTATCTAATTCATTTCATGAGCTCAATATTCTATATAATATTCTATATACGACATGATTTTAAAATCCAATTCTTATTTTTTCTTATATCTTTTCTCCAGGAGGTTTTGGGCCAGGATAATAGTGGTGATTCCGGATCCGTTTTTCATTCTATAAAGCTAACATTCGCTGCGCTGAGTACAATCTCCAACCCCATTATATACGCCATGTTCAATAAAACATTCCGTGAAGGTTATCGGAGAATATTTCATTGTAAACTGGGCAGAGCAAACAGAGTAGAAACTACCGGAGAGGGAGCATCAATAACATTATCAGCACAAGGGTCTACGTCATAGAACATATATTCATTAATGTCATAACCAATAGTAATACTAGCAGCAGGACTAGATGGGTCATCCCAAGGACTGGCTCATTATAAAGACTAACATCAGTTATACCACCCTCGGCGACACGACTAGCAGTAGATGAATAATTCTAGGAACTAACTTCAATATTTTCTACTGTCAACTGTACGTTTGAACGGGCCATTCTAAGGACTGACATTAGTAATACTACTCTCAACCACACAACATCACTAGCAGATGGGACTGACATCAGTAATGTTTTATCAATCACATCATTGGCAGTAGAGGAATTATAATATCATTGTGCCAATTTAATGCGCTACCCCGACGTCAAGCAGGCCTAGTCGAACACAAGCACCAATGAAGCTGTGGTTGGCATTTTAGACTGATAACTCTAAGCAGGAAAAATGAAAATAATTCACAAATAATGCACAAAGGCAGTACGGTGATTATTTCGACCTTTGTTATGCTTTGTTATTCACGGAGATTGAGAATCGCTTAAAAGACCATTATCCATATTATGTAAATTAATCTATATCTATAATTGTCCTTTTTATGATTTGTTGTTATGTGTTGCTATGTAGCGATATATTTCAAATGTTACTGTTATACCAATTATAAAGTGTTTAACAAAATATTTTTAGATCGATGATTGTAATCATCACCAGTATTTCTAGAATTATTACTAGATGTTTCTGGTGTGCATGAGACACTTATTGTATTTCAAATTCACGTATATGTTAGGTTACCACGACTTGGAAGACACCTGTATGCGTGGTAAAACCAGTTTTAATGAGCATTTGCAGTAGCACTGGAACACAATACACCATTTAATGTTGTCTACGTTACCAAACACATACACTTATGTGCTATTCAAAGATATTTTAATATTATTTTAATTATTCACGTTTATTAGACTTTAATATATAGCACAGTTGCACATATATAGCTAGATGTGCAAGTAAGACATGATTTACAAGTCTATATATTCGAGTGAACTCCTGTGGAGAAAGGTCAAATATTCTATCCAGCATGATCCACTGCTTCGTTTAATGCATGAGAACATGCTACTCCTTATTTTCTTAGCACTAGAACAACCTAATAACACTTAACATGCACGTTTTCCCTGTGAGACCAGGTATTTAATCGCTTGGCTGCATAAATCGAACTAAACATGCCCTTTATAGAAACTGAATAATATGCCATACTAACTAGGTTATGCTCCACTGAAATACAATACAACTGTTCCTCCACTAATTAGTCTGTGAATCTATCGCTAGCTTTGATTTCATTGCTTTAGGTGTTATGCCAGGTAATGATGTTTTCAAACCTGTGATGACGTCGCTGAAAGTAGGTCAGTTCAACATTTTGACTGGGTTTATTTAGGTGCCGTACCATGTATTTAATGAATAAGGTACTACCAATTCCAATGTAACTTTGCATTAAGTATTTGATGACCTAATCGCGGAGAAAAAACTTTATAGTCCAGAAAAGTGCGATGCAATGATTCTGTACTTTTAATGCATTCAGTGAGTTGTGTCATCAACGAATGATGCACTAGGGAAATGCGATCATGTTCCTACTAATGAATAACAATCATGGAATGAACATTCGTTATCTACATATAACCCCATATAACACCGAAGTTGAAATAATAAGCATATTTAAATTGGCAATGTATACATTTGTATTCCAACACACTTCAAAATATAACCGTGTTTTCACTTCACGAGCAAGCAGGTTGTACGACATATCACTTTAGAAAAAGCAATGTGAGATATATAACTAACTCATTCTCTTGCGAATGCCTTCTTTCTAGTGACAAACACATACCCCCCCCCCCCGCTTGCAAAAAGTCCTTACATAAGTTATGTATACAACTTTGAAATATGTAAACAGCGCTTAAAGCGGGGGAGTCGTCACCTGGCTGCGTCAGATGGCCACAGCGTGTCATTGTTTACAAACAAGCGTCTACCTATGAGCCTTTGCGTTTTAGCGTGTGTTGTTATCGTCGCTTGGGACTCAATTCCCGCGCAGGTGCAGACCCTCCCGCTTTAACATAACCTCATTTTATCGCACAGCCAGTTTGACACATTTTGACAAAATTATTGAAATATATGCTTTGCGTGATCACTTGAAGATTATATAGTTACACACTTTTGTCGAGTCAGACAATACATAAATTAAGTAAAGCAAAACATTTGTTTAACAATACTGCAATATTAAGAGAGTTGTGTTCTTATTGTTTAAACCTTCTTAAGATATTTGACATTCTTTTAAATAGTTAACTTCATATTATCCAAGAAGGGCAGAAGAAATATCTTGAAGGAAATATTTTTATAAATTTCCATAACGATATGACATTCATATACTATAAATAATAAGGTAATGAACATTAAACTGATGGATTTCAAGCAATGTATTGATATGAGGCACACATTTGTATACATATATTGTTTATAAGTGGATTGACTTATCTCTTGTGTACTATTAAATCAAAAACCTTATAAAGCAAGGCATGATGTGTGTGTTGTATTATCCTTTATAATATTCTTAAAGCAATGAAATAAAAGTATGTCACATACAAATAAAACAATGAGTAAGTGTTCACAATATATCTAGCATAATGTTATTTAGATTAGTTTAGTTGAAAAATAAATAAGCGTGTATGCTGTATTGGCTAAAATAAATTAAAAGGCAGTACATACTCTCAGTGCTGTAGTGACATGTTATGACACGGCCGCGCGTTTTTTTTGAAAACGTTCAAATATGAGACGCTTTCAACCTACTCTTCATAAATAGGTGGGGTATGACACGTCTCCATCTGACCAATGTGTTTTTCATATCGCCCATTTGACCATACTCATTGTAGCATTGGCACGTCACATGTAACCTCGGAGAAAAATGTGTTTGAGCAAGGGACGAAGCTTATTCGACAAAACGGCCAGTCATTTTCGAACAAAATAACAATCGTTCTCACATTGTGGTGTTTTCCAGCCATCCGACAACAAATTGTTGACATTTATTTCATTGTATTATCTATAAAATTAAAATATCTCAAAATGTTGACCACAGCAACATTAAGAAAGCTACATCATTGCCCATAATTGTAACCTTGGCTCCCATGAACATCACCAAAGTTACATTAAAGCGCGGTGGTCGTCGCGCAGCGCGTGTTCGAATTTCATGTAAATAAACAATGTATTTTACACGCGTTGTATACGTCGTTATGAGTTCCATATCGAGCAGGACGCGGCGCGACGACTGCCGCCCTTTAATACTGTCTACATTCTGGTCCAGCGTACGGTTAAAAGTTGAAATAACAGGTTCGATCAAGAAATGTTTTCAACATGTCAATGAAATAGTTGATTTATGTCTGTATTTCACGGACATTTTTCAAAAATGTGCGAGTGCTCTTCTACTGCACAATTAAGACAACTTTATTTGATGTTCGCCTCGCCACTATGGCTGCCATTAAAACACTTTAGAGGGTACGCGGTTTGAACGAAAATGGAATTCTGTGTGTTCTGTTCTCTGTTCATAGATTCCAAATTTTAGTGCATTGTGGGATCGTTAGTTCAGGTTGCAGGAGCGGTTGCGCTTTGTGATTGGCGGAGTTGTGTTCGATCACGATTTGATTCGGGCAAAGCTATCCCACAATGCACTAAAATAGTGAGAACGCTCGCCGTTTATATACGTTTCCACGTTGTGCAGGGCGTGTAAATAATTACGACATACGACGTCCTGTAAAAAAGGGTCCGTTGGTGGTGCCATTTACTAGCTTTAACATTATAATTACATTGCAAAGTAATTGAAAACATGTTCGGGCTCTTGGTATTTATACTGTCGTGTATAAATTACAATAATTGCAATAAATTTCAATAAAATTAAATTCAATAGTTGTTGCCTACTGACCTTGTGTGCAGACTATTATGTCTGTCGGCAGATTCGATAGGCTGCCACTCGTATTGTGGTGAATCTGAGTGAACAAATAGTTAATGAAGTGGAGGTCAATATTATTGTTTAATGACATGAAGAGGAAATAATCTGGTATAATAGAATGACCTTGGTGTCTGTTGCTATGTTTTAGCATCAATAAATCTATTTGTGGTGCTTTCAGACCTGCCCAGACATTCTTTATATAACAATCCAAGATGGCAGCTAATGTGGCTTTCAATTTGTGGCAAGTTTTGATTTACATGATTATCAATTAAGGTAGAGATGCAGTTTACCTGACAGGTATTTTAATTAGTTAATTAGGAAACGAAGATGACCTCCCTTGTCCACAAAACTATATATTTTCGGAAAGCTTATTGTATGAATTTTGAAATGTGCACAAAAATGTGCTTTTTTGGTCAAAAGTGATTTAAAAAAAATAGCTTCTAAACCATGCTTCTGTTTCTTGTCAAAATTGGTTTATGGGTACATCTGTTTACTATGAAAATAAGTACCGTCTTGAAAACTGTCTACCAGTTGTCAATTTTGCAGGGCAGAAACTCAAATTTCACTACCTCAAGTTTATGCATAAATTAACACCCAGGCTAGTTGTCTGTACGATTGCTGTAACACTATTCAACTAAAAACAATGCCCGACGGCGTTTTGAAGATAAACACATTGTCAATCAATTGTGAAAATTGTTCTGGGATGTGCACTAAAAAAAAGCTGAGATAATTGCTAATTTGCATAACAATTCACTCAGTAAGAAGTTTGCTAATGCTCAAAATTAAAATGGCTGTAACAGTTCCAAATTTAAATGTATTATCGTTTTGTTAAAAGCTAAATATAGTGCATAATATGGAGATCCCGTCATTTCTTTTTTTCACAATGTTTCTTTTTTTATTATTTATGTACACCTCGCTAAATCTTGCTAAGCATTCAAAAGAATGTTATCTATATTTTAAAATCGTTTTTTGAGTATGTCCCACTATTCACAATTCTACAAAATTTTAACAGTCTATAGCCAAAACTGTTTGGATAATAAAAAGCAAAA